GGGCCTTCTTTACTGGAGGTGCATCATGGGACATCAGGGGCCAGGACAGGGCCTCCTGCCACATAAGCATGGGAAACCTCTCCAACTGCAATTTTAGGGTCTGTAATTTGTTTGTTTCTAATGTGGACTGCCATGTCGATAGGAGGGGTGAAATGTGGAGGTGGCCAACAAAGATTTCATATTTCTGGGTTGTATGAAGTCTTAGGAAATCTTTCTCCAAGTCAGGTCGGGACTCCAGCATCAGGAGCCCGCGATGTTATAGACCAAGAAGCCAAGATAATCTCCCAAGTTCACTAAGGCATCTCTGCTTCTTTAGACCACTCTAAAGGACCACTGCTCCTGGAGGGAGGGAGGGCACAGATGCCAGGACACATATGGTCAATGGAGGTTTCAGGATTGTAAAATACTGTCTAGGCCAGTGGTTCTCAACCTTCTGACCCTTTAAATACAGTTCCTCATGTTGTGACCCAAGCATAAAATTATTTTCGTTGCTACTTCATAACTGTAATGTTGCTACTGTTATGAATTGTAATGTAAATATCTGATATGCAGGATGGTTTTAGGTGACCCCTGTGAAAGGGTCGTTCGACCCCCAAAGGGGTCGCGGCCCACAGGTTGAGAACCGCTGGTCTAGGCAGTTAGGTAACTTCTCAAGTCTGGACTGGAGCGGGACGGGGCAGAAGAAAGGGGAGAACGTTTTGGAGAGTTATCAGAGGTTAAGATGCCTTAACACCCCAAATCTCCTAGTTGTTCAGATCACTGATATCTGCTCCAACCATAACTTTGGCTCACACTTTGGCTGCTACAGCTTAATATACAAACTGTGATGCCCAAATAATATGATCTTTGGGACTTGCTTTAAAATACTTTAGTAAAAGCAAAGGAAAATAGAGGAAGATAAAAAGAGAGAACAGGAGAGAAAAATAAAGGAAGAAATAGAAAAACAGAAAAGAAACTGCCCCATAGCATAGATGGAGAGACTGCGATTAGATGAGCCACGGAGCGCATCCAGCAGGCCTGGTGCACGTGCTCAGTAAATGCTGGCCTCTCCCCCGGCAGGCCTGCTCCGCGGGTCTGAATTCTGACAAGTTGGAGCCACCTTCCTGGGCCGCCAAGTCCCTGCGACTAGAAATCCCTGTCTTCTCCACAAATTCACGGTCGAAGGAATCAACCTTAATTTCTGTTCTCTCATGAAGAGAATAAAGTATTTCATTACTCTCATGCAACGAAAAGACAACCAACACCGAACTGGTATTCAGGAACGGAGACAGTACACTATACTCTTCAGGTTCAGGGAGAGAGCATTTACGTTTCCAGTGACTGCAACCCAGGGGCCTGGCAGGGAGGTGCTCGCAATCTTGCTGGAAGGAAAACGTAGGCTGCCCGCATTTCAAAGAAATGTCTCAAATTTAGTCAGAATACTTACCAACAAGCTATTCTGTCTGTC